CCCCCCTAAACCCCCTCCTGCCTTCCAGGGGGGAAGAACAAGTCGGTGGAGCTGGAGGACGTGAAGTTCCACCAGTGTGTCCGTCTGTCCCGCTTCGACAACGACCGCACCATCTCCTTCATCCCGCCCGACGGGGACTTCGAGCTCATGTCCTACCGCCTGCACACCCAGGTGGGGCCGGGGGGGCAGGGGTTGCAGGGCTGAGACCCCCATCTGGGGGGCTAGGACCCCCATCTCGAGGCTGAGACCCCCATCTGGGGGGCTAGGACCCCCATCTTGGGGCTAGGACCCCCATCTCGGGGCTGGGACCCCCATCTCAGGGCTGGGACCCCCATCTCGAGGCTGGGACCCCCATCTCAGGGCTGGGACCCCCATCTTGAGGCTGGGACCCCGGTTTGTGGGGCTGGGACCCCCATCTCGATGCTGGGACCCCCATCTAGGGGGCTGAGACCCCTTTCCATGGGTCTGGGACCCCCTCTATGACTCCATCACCACTGTCCACGCAGGCAGGACCCTCTTGGGGTGGTGGGGACACCCGGGGGGGGCACGTGAGGGTGACCCCTGTGCCCCCCCCCCAGGTGAAGCCGCTCATCTGGATCGAGTCCGTCATCGAGAAGTTCTCCCACAGCCGGGTGGAGATCATGGTCAAGGTGAGAGCTGGGGGGGTCCCTCGCTCCCTCCCTGCCCTGCAGGGACCCCCAGCTGCCCCTGAGCCCCCCCACATGTCCCCCCCCCCCAGGCCAAGGGCCAGTTCAAGAAGCAGTCGGTGGCCAACGGGGTGGAGATCGCGGTGCCGGTGCCCAGCGACGCCGACTCCCCCAAATTCAAGACCACGGTGGGGGCGGCGCGGTACCTGCCCGAGAGGAACGTCGTCATCTGGAGCATCAAGTCCTTCCCGGTGAGGACACGCCCTGGCCCCCGGCCTGGGGGGTCCCTCGTGTGCCCCCAACCCCATTCTGAGGCACCCCCATGTCCCCCCACCCCCTGTCCCTGTCCTGGGGTCCCCTGTGAACCCCCAACCCTGTCCTGGGGGGTCCCCTCGTGTTGTCCCCGTTCTCTGTCCTGGGAGGTCCCACCATGTTCCCCCCCACCCCCATTCCCATATTCCAGGGTCTCCCCCATCCCTTGTCCCTCATCCTGGGGGGTGTCCCCCATCCTGGGGGGTGTCCCCCATCATGGGGTGTGTCCCCTGTCCTGGGTGATGTCCCCCGTCCTGGGGGATGTCCCCCATCCTGGGGTGTGTCCCCCGTCCTGGGGTGTGTCCCCCATCCTGGGGGATGTCCCCCATCCTGGGGTGTGTCCCCCATCCTGGGGGGTGTCCCCCGTCCTGGGGTGTGTCCCCCATCCTGGGGGGTGTCCCCCATCCTGGGTGATGTCCCCCATCCTGGGGGATGTCCCCCATCCTGGGTGATGTTCCCCCATCCTGGGGGGTGTCCCCCGTCCTGGGGGGTGCCCCGTCCTGGGATGTTCCCCCCGTGGGGTCCGCAGGGGGGGAAGGAGCACCTGATGCGTGCCCACTTCGGGCTGCCCAGCGTGGAGAAGGAGGAGGAGGAGGGGCGGCCGCCCATCAGCGTCCGCTTCGAGATCCCCTATTTCACCGTCTCGGGCATCCAGGTACCGCGGGGGGGGCAAAGGGGGGTC